AGTCAGTTTGTAGTGGATGATCACTTTCATGCACTAGTGAGTTTCCTGGTGTCTTCCTTCTTGGTGTTATTTTCTTTTAGACCAGCTGCAAACACACCTTAGCCAACTGAATGCAGAGGGAGGCACTGCCATTCCTGAGGGCCCGTGATTGCCAAAGGATGTACAGTCATTCCAATACTACATTTACTAGACAGAAAAAGAACATACAGTGAAAGAACAAACCCAACCTTCCAGTAAAACTGTGACATGAAACCTCTTACTCACACTAACAGATGTATCTTTGACTGTCATAAATGGCATGTTTTCCAGATTTACTGCCAACCATATTTTAAACTAGCATATATAACTGCAGTCTCATATTTAGCAGAGAAGAAGAAAGGTGTCCTACTTTTAAACTAAAAGAGGATGCAAAGCAGTCTGATATTGGTATGATAATGAATGCTGCACATTTCATTGATAATGCTCAGTACTGCTGAGTGTGGCATAGCAATGACAGCCCCAGTTGCCACATCATCAGTTCGCATTCTGAATGGCATATGAAAGAAAGAGGAGCAAGAGCAGGTAGAGAATATAGAATCATAGAATGGTTTGGGTGGAAGGAGCGTTTGAGATAATCTGTTTCCAACCCCCCTGCCATAGGCAGGGACACCTCGCTCTAGATCAGGTTGCTCACAGCTCCATCCAGCCTGGTCTTGAACACCTCCAGGGATGTGAGATCCACAGCTTTGCTGGGTAACCTGTTCCAGTCTCTCTCCACCCTCACAGTGAGGAATTTCGTCTTAATATCAAGTCTATATCCACCCTCTTCCAGTTTAAAGCCATTTTCCCTTGTGCTATTGCTACATGCCCTTATAAAAAGTCCGTCCCTAGCTTTCCTATAAGCCCCTCTTCAGATAGAACCAGGAAAACTTGAAAATTGGTCTTACCAATTACCTGATCCAGCTTCAGTACAGCATCATCACAAGGTTTGTGTGTTTGTTGTCACTGCTATACACACTGCTCTCAGTTGTAGGAGGCTCACTGATTTTTATTTCAAGCAGTGCCATGAGTGGATGTAAATGCAGACAGACAAATACATTTTGGAAAAATTCTGTTTTCCTTGGGGTTTTTTCCTCCACTTTAATAACTTGGGATGACAGTTATCTTGTAGATACTATATGGAGTTGTAGGCAGTATCTTATGGATAGTTGTGCAGTGGCAGTATCATTGGTCTTTGTGATCTTTGTAGCTCTCTGTGGAGGGGAAGCAGAGGAAGGTGCTGAGCTTTGCTCCAGGAAACTGATGACAAGGCTGGGAATAAGACAGAGTTGCCAGGGAGCAGTCAAACTGGGAACTGGGAAACATTTCTGTTCCATGAAAGTGGTCAGACCAGGGAATAGACTTAGAGATGTGGTGGATACCCCACGCCTGTCGGTGTTCAAGAGACATCTTCCCCACTAATATCATGCAGTAATATTGTTTCCCAAATGTGCATGGGATTTTCTCCAAGTTAAAAGCTAACATTAGTGCTGCTTTATGTTAATTTTATCTTCAGTGCATTACAAGGAGAAGAAAAACATTCTTAAAAACACTTTAAAGCTGCAGGGTGCTTTATCATAGGATCATGTACTACTGCTGTCATCACTATGGCAGCTGTTTGGGAAAGTCTTTATCAAATACTCAGCTTCTCTGTGCTAAGGGGGACTAAACTTTTCTGACTGTGATTCTTTGCCCAGCACAGTGAGTCACCAGCTGGCTGACAAAGTGATTCCAGCTGACTTTATAAGCCACACCTCTGAAATAAGTAAAGAAGTAAATTATGAATAATTACTGTGGAGCTGACTCACTGCATAAACAGTGAGTTCAAAATAACTTCAAGTTTTAAATCACCGATGATGGATGAAAAGAGGCATTGTGTAGGAAATGTTTGGCTTGGTAATTTAGTGCATTTACTTAACTATCAGAAAGTAGAGTGTTGACATTGCATCTGACATGGTATGATAATGCAAAAATAGTTTGTTATTTGAGTACTCCGTAGATCATTGAAAGGCTTTTTTGTTTTGTTCTTTGTTTTTTGCTTTTTAATATAGTTTGTCAAGCTATGTGGCATGAAAGAAGTCCTGCCACATACAGGACTTTTAATTTGATGAAAAAGGAAGTGTGCCTGAAGTACAAACAAATTCGTAACTGTATTTTAACATTTGTTTCTTTACTACACATCTTTATTTCCTGTCCAGGGTCAAGAAATATATTACTATCAACTAGAAGTAGGTCTTTTGACTTTAAAAGCAATTCTGAACTCCTGCTGTCATGTAACTTAGCATGCCATTTAGGCTACATTTGTTTATTTTCATTGCTGACACCTGTTTATTCATACAGGAAGGGTCTTGGATTTAAATATGTTAGTCAGTGACAATATACACTGAATAGTTCTAGTCTCACTGAAGGTTACAACATTCTTTCTTAAATAGGTGAAATACATAAAAGGCATGTGATCTTCATTTGGGTTTAAGATTGTAAAGACTTTCATTGTCCTGCACTTTTTTTCTAGAAAAAAAAAAAAAAGAAACTGCCATGTTATGGTTATCTGTAAGAGAATTCAGTTCCTAGGGAAAAGAAATGAACATAATCTGCTCCTGAAAGACCCTAAACCAGCAGTAAGATAGTAAAAAAATAATTAAACAAGCAAAGAAGTAACATTGTCTAACTTTCTTGGCTGAATAATTTATTTCAGCTGAGATTCTGCTATCCTATTTTATTTAGATGTGTGCCTAAGTGCAGAGTGATTCCATCAAAACAACCATCAGGGTCATAATAGAATCTAGTTTTGAATTGCTAATATTAGTGTTCATCCCAGTAATCAATTCTACAAATAATGCTCAAATAGCATTCTGAAAAACAGTTGTTACTGGACTAAATATTCTTTGTATAATTGAATGCTTTTGTTTAACCAGTTTTAATGGAGCATCACTAATGTTTTTTACTATTTTTTACTCAAGCATTAACTCCACTTGCAGATCATGTAGATTTTTGTCATTTGCAGAATTTTATATCTGAGCTTTTACCATGTCTAGTCTTCTCTGCCATTGTTAACCTAGGAAGTATTAGCATACTTTATTTAGATTATAGTTCATTCATTTACTTCTGATTTCTCCCTCAAGATTTAAAAACTCAGTTTCTTTTCATGGTTAGCTGTCCTGTTATTTAATTAATGATGTATTTTACTAGTTTAAAAACAATAGACTGGTATTTTTCCTCCTTTTATTGCTGTGAAATCTTTGCACTCCTTTTATTGCTGTGAAATCTTTGCACTTACAAACACATTTTACTTAAGTAAGTGTATAATAAAAATCACGTCATCGTAAAATTTAAAAGCTTAGTGTGATCATTTGTCCATACACACCTGATGGTTGATGACTAGCTTCTAAGTAGACATCTAAACATCAAATTAGGAGTTACAAAAGAGAAAGGTTAACCAGTTAAGCACCATGTTTAGGCCTTTTCAAGTTACATGCTTTGCAGAGCATTCAGTTGTAGCCTACTTATATTTGAACACTAACTTGTAGAAATAAAAACCATTTATTTACCTCAGGAAACTTTAGTCTGAGGCATAGTTGGCTGGTGCAACAGACTGTAATTCATTATTTTCTATCAATTGGATTTGACAGCCCCTAGGACACCACGCTATTTTGCAATTAGCAAAAACTGATGTATTCAGTGTCAATGCAACATACAATTGCTTACAGAACGTTTTACTAAATTAGCCAAGATTGATTGATGTCAAATGCAGTAGGTGTGTGGTGATGAGCTACTCACTGTCACAGGGTCTCTTATGTCTGATGAAATTTCCCTACAGATGTTTTGCCTTAACATGACACACGGAGTAATAGCGAAGGCAAAGAAGTCTATTTAAAAAGAATGGTACTGATTTTTGAGAAAATGTTTGAAATCTTCATCTGTGCCATATGCAAGCTCTGAGGCCATCCATCAGTGTGCCAGAGTGCTTCTGCAGTTGTAGGAACATTGTCTTCACAATCTGCCAGGAAATGAGTAAGCTGGCAGAAAAGAGGGCTTCTTTGGAATGTTTGTGTGGAACTGATTCTACAATAAATCAAACAGAGGCAGCTTACATTTAAACTGACAATAGAAGAGAATGTTTAAAAGAGACAAAATATGATATGATAGATTTGTTTAGTACCTTAGGAGGGTATCTATATCATATTTATAGGGAATCCTCTCAGGCCTCATGGTGCTTTTAGAGGTGAGAAATGTTTGACTGTTGCTTTCTCTGTCATTGAAAACTTCTCAAGACTGTGAGAAGACCGTTTTTATGATGCATGTGTATATAACATACTGACTGCAAGAAGACAAGAAATTAAGTCACTGGTGTACTTCTAAAATACAGTTTTACTGTGAATATGTCTTTTATTTGAGTATGTGTAGTATAGTAGATAGTCAGTAGTCACAGGTTCTTTCTGGTGGTAGCTTAAGGCAATTTGATGGTTACCTCTCACAAAAAGGGAAAGGTTCTGCAAGACACAAGATGCATGTTATTGCTTGTCTTTGACAACAAACAGCTGGACTGGAGAATCGAATGGGCATTCCATCCATCATTCTGTAAGGAAAAACAAACAGACAAAATTCAAAAATTTCTCAGCTGTAATTTCAGAGTCAATGGACCAATACTGGATACATAAGCTTAACTTGATGGCGAGATGCAAAAAAGATATTTCTGTCATCCTAAGACATCTTTGTTAGCTAACCAAAACACTGGTCCCACAGCCGTGTTTTAGAAGTCTTCACCTTTAAAACTACACCATTTTTAACATCAACCACACTCAGATTATCAAACTACATGAACAGTTTTTCATAGTGTTTTATTGTTGATATACTAAGAAAAGATAAATAATATAAAAATTAGTGCGATTTGGATTTCTTCATCTCTTTTTTTTTTTTTTTTTTCTCTCCCTCCCTTTCCTTCCACCAACCCTGCCCCACCCCCACTCTCCCCATTTGCACAGCCTCCACTGAAGAGGAACCAACTTCAGCAGGTATGCATATTTTATTATTACACCTACATCAAGGTGACCATTACTTAAGAGCTGCATTTTGAAACATACATATATATATATATATTAGCCAGTCTTATGTTATAAATAACATGTGCTTAATATCCTTACTAGTTTCCTTTTCTTTTGTGTCTCTTTCCTCTTGGCCATATTTTCTTCAATTTAGAGTCACAAGAAGATAAAATTTGGTGAACATTTTTTCCAGTAGTAGTTTAAAATCTTTCCTGTCACTTGTTCCTTCCGTTGTAATTCTGAGCTGGTGCATGGACCTTAAACAACAGACAAGGTCAGAAGTGATCAAAAGTTAAAAAAATTGGTGTTTTTGTTAGTTTTTAATTTGGCTTTGTACTGGTAAAGCTCAGTCAGCTTCATGACTGACAGCACTGCTTGGGAGCAAGGAGTGAAAGCAGGGAAGGGCAGAGGGTGCAGAAGCATACTGCTCAAAAAAAAAATGTACAGCAAACTGTAGCCTGGATATGTAGCTCAGTGAACTTTTATTTCCATTGACAGACTGCCAAGTAGTGAAAACAGATAACAACACAGTCATAAAAATTAGTTTAGAAGAACCCCAAGAGATGCAAACACATAGTGCTTATGCTATTCCAAAGATTAACTATTTCTAATTAAATGGCAATCCATTAGCTTGGGAGTATTTAAAGAAAAGAAGACATACCGAAGAAGAATGTTGCTAAACAGATTAACATATTTGAAATGGCACTGGCTTGTATAAACTCAGTGAGCTAAAACATCAAATGAACAGGGAGTCACTTTATAGTAGCTTGTTAAAAGAAGTCAAAGTCTCCAGAGTGCCAAAGGCGAAAAGGTAAGAAAAGTGAATAAAGGAAGATAGCAGAGAAGCATTGAATGCTAACTGTTTACAACACTAACCTACGACTTGGGAGCAATATAAGTAACTAGGATATGGTGAAGAATAATAAATGAAAGGATTCAGAACAAAGACAAAAGTAAAGTGTGAGATGAGTAGACTAGTTAAGGATAGCATAGAAGGGGGAAATCGAAATGGAATTCTCAACATGAAGATAATAGCAGAATAGAAAAAAAGCATGACTGAGATGAGGAAGGCCATGCTGAAACAGAAAGGAAGAGCTTTGTGCTGCATAAGACTTAATTAAATGCATCTGAGAAACTCGTCTTCAAATTTGCATGGAAAATACTTTAATAAAAGAGTCAATTGCAAGAGAAAAAAATACATTGGTGCTCACCTGTGTCTTTTTATTTTAAGAAGGAATGAAAGAAGAGTGCCTTGTATTCCCCTCATGCAATGGATTTAAGCATGTACGTTTTGTAGAGAGACATTTGAGGTTTATGTGAATGCACTGTAGTAATGTCCATGGACTTGCTGTGGCTGTACATTGATAATCACTCCTATTGCAACCAGTGGAGTACCTCATAAAGACAGATCTTCCTTTACATTTTTAACGCCACTGTAGATTTTGGTGACAGCCCATATCCACGAATTGGCCAAACTAATTAGACGCATTAGCTGAAAGTGAGTATCAGTAGTTGGACAGAATCCTACAAGTTATGTATTCATGTCTTCTGGAAACCTTGCAACTTCAGGTGACACAGCAGAGTTGTGTTTGTATAAAAGCTTGTTTGCTTTTATATTCATTTAAATGGTTTGTGTTTAATTACTTCCAACTGTTTTGTTTTACTGCACCCTGTATCAGTGCTTTGGTTATTTTTCTACCTAATTCTCTGTTTAGCACCTAATTCTCAGAGCTCAGACAAAAATTTACAATGAATGAGTTAATGTTCCTAAACATTTTAATCTTCTTTAATTTATTGATTCTCTGTAAAATTTTTACACAATTATTTTTAAAAATACTTTCCTCCAAAGCTTTGTAATATATGGCTAAAACTTAAATAATTTATTTAATTGTGGCTGGTTGAATTAGCTGCACTTAGTATTCAGTGATTATTTGTATTATTACTGTTTTCACTATTTCAAGGTTTTTTGACATCCAAAAAAATGTAGCACAATTATTTGTGCAGTAATAGCTATAGTAGTGTAACTTTCTATATGAAAACTCTTAAAAGAAACACTGGTGACCTTTTCGTGTTAGTTATGCCATGAGAGACTGCTGTTAGCAGTAAGGGTGTATGTGTGGCAGCTGCCCTGTTACAGCAGCACAGACTGTTATTTCCACACAGACAAATCAAAAGCTAGAAATATACAAATAAACAGTAACAAAATGTTTTTGTTCTCTGAATTGGACAGATGAGCAAATGCCTCTGGCATATATTCTACATGGTAGATTTACAGTGTGAGGCAAAACCCATATTTATAAACATTTGTGCAAACAAATTTCAGCTTCTTAGAAATTATGTTAAAATGGAGCATGACTAAATACCTGCAAAAATACACTGGCTTAATGTAATAGAAACACTTCTTATTATTTAATCTGGTTGTAGGACACAGACACTTCACATCATTAGATTCTTCTTGAATTATTTTTGAAATAATTACTTTCTTCGGAAAAACTGTGATGAATTTGAAGGTTTTTGTGGGATTTCATTTGACTGGAATTTTCCAAATGCAGAATCATATTTTTACTATTCAGATGAAAATTTCCACTTTAAAAAATCTGAAAACAATTGTGAAAACAATTCTGATCTCTTCTTTGAGAAACAAGCTTTAGGTCTTAAGCTTTTCTTCTAGATACTACCAGAGTATAATCCAACGCTCTATATACATGAAATGTGACTAAATAAAATAGGCTATATACAAGTGTAGAAGTTAATTCTTAGAAATTCTGTCAGATAGTAAACATCATCTGCAAAGTTGTACATACCTTATTTTGAACCTCAGCAAAGCATTTCAGTACATAGTATCTGAGTAGTCCTTTTAACTCTCAGTGCGTAGTAAACCTATTTATTGTCTTTGCAAGACTCATTTAGGCTCACAAGTTTGCCAGATTGGAGCTTAAAGCAGCTGTAACAAAAGTACAGCTCAGAAGTGCAACGTGTATTGTGTCAGTGAAATGTACTATTTTATTCCTGACGAAAACAAAATCAAAAGCAATCAGCTTCATTAAGAGGAGGCATATAGTTTTATATGTAGTGATATGCTTGGGAAAATGAAGTTAAACTCATGTTATAAAAATATTACTCGTGCAGCTTTTCCTAAGAAAAATTTTCTAAGTAAAGTGTAATTGTTGTTTAACTGAATAGTATTTTTATCTTCAAATTTAATAAGCAATACTTGATCATCAAATGCTTTTAATTTATACCTTCTATTGATTTTGTTTTAATACATGACTAGAGGACATTGTTTTGAATATAAAAGATTAATGAATTCTTACGTGGTTGTTCCAGTACAACTTAGTTCTCAGATTGTATTGATTTTTACAAAGCCTTATGCTGTGGTTAAAACAGATGCTCCTTTCTTCTAGCAGGGATGCAGTTACTGTTTGAAAGATGCAGTGGTGCACTGGTGAAAAATAAGTAGAAACTGTAACTGAAGCCCCATCTATCACCTGGAGTCTTCCACTTAGGTTTCTGGGGGATGTGTTCATCTTGAAAAAAACATGTGCTTTGTATGGACAGGAAGCAGAGTTTTTGCAGCTACCAGATTGTGTTCTTTTCCCAAAACGGCAGTACACGTCATCCAGTTCGTAATATGTATCTGAGCACCATGTAATAAATCTCTTAATTCCACTGCTGATCTGGTATTGTCACAGGGAGGTTAGCAGGCACTTCCATCTGCAAGGCACAGAAGTTTCTCAGCGTTCAGAATCATTGGAAGTTGCTTAGAACTGCTGCCTAAACACTCTCTGACAAGAGTCTGTGTTAAACTATAACATGTGCAGGAGAGGAAAGATAAAAAGATTAGAGGGTAGCACATAACGTATTACTAGTTTTCCAAAACATGCCTTTACTTGGCAGCTCTGCCCACAGCAGAGGGTTGGAACTAGATGGTCTTTATGGTCCCTTTCAACCCAAGCCATTCTATAATTCTGTAATTCTGTGATTCATAAAAAAAACAAGCTGTAGGATAAATTGCAACTCATAAACTGCTTTTATGAAAATTATAAACTTTGTAGGAATATTTTATGATCACTATAAGCTTTTAATGGAACAGTGATTGGGATCAGGGTTAGATTTATGTGTTTTTTTTTCTGTTTAATCAACGGGAAAAATAGTAGTATTTCCCATACTCTGCTCTTGGGGTAGTGTTTCATTTCTCTGACAGTGCATCCCTTGTCTTCCCAAATAATCTCAAAGAAGTTAAGTTTCTAAAATTGTATTTTGACTGTTGTAGCCCATAACATGAATTTGAATAATGCTATGGGTGAATACATGCCCCGTGTGTATGTCTCTAAAAATGATATGCTCATGCATCCTCTGAAAGCAAACTAGGAAAACCTTGTCTCCTGCAGATTTTTCTTTCCATTTTTGCATCTCAGAAATGTTTCCCATGATTTAACATATTCCTTTCTTTCATAAAGGAGTCTGGAATTGCTTCTACAGACATTAAAGAGTAATTTTTCCAAGACAAGATGAAAGGTAGTGCAGCTCAACATGTCTCACATTGTTCACTTTTATTTACACTATGCCTTTGAATGAAATAATAAATATGTACCCTTTTGACATAATAAGTGAATACATTCCTTGATTTTGTTGTCATTGTTTTAAGTCTGCTGTTTTAAGTAACTGGCATTTGAGTATTTATATTCTATTTATATAAAATATGCAAATGGTTTTAGTGCTTCATGACAATACAAGTGATTTTACCGTACAAATTTATTACTGTTTTAATGAAATTTTGGTGTTGAAGAGATAGCAGACTCAGTACATGACAGTAATTTCTTCTTCAAGCACGTTAGTAAAAAGCAATCCATACGACAGTTCCGTGGCACAGTATATACATGCAGACACTTTCATTGCATATCTGACTGCAATTACTACATGCAGTCTTTTTTTTTTTCCCCCAAAGGAAAGTAGCATTGTAACTCAAC